CCCCCCCCCCCCCCCCCCCCCGGGGGGCCCCCCCCCCCCCCCCCCCCAGTGCCCAAAGGCTCTTGGAAGCAGTTGCTCTGCCTCGATGCCCTCCCCTCTCTGGGGGGTTACCCAGGAGAAGGGCGGGGCCGGGGGCTGCTTGGGGAGAGAGGCTGGCAGAAGGCAATCAGTCACTGTCACTTGCAGCTGTGTGCTGCTGTCAACGGGCTAATTAGATGCCAGCATTTACATTTTTAATTTCTGCAATTTGACATTTTATGCGGCAAACCCCAACCTCTCCGCCAGAGGGGAGTGGTGCGGCTTCCTAATGAGGAAGAGAAGGGCCCCGGTGCCCCCCAGAGACAGCTATACCCCCCTCCCCAGCTGCCTGCTGGGGACAGGGACCTACAAAAGCAGGGAGCCATCAGGGCAGCGGGGGAGCACCCAGGAGTGTCGGTCATCCCAGCTCGGCCTGCAGCTGAATGCTTACGGCTTCGGAGCCGGTGAAAGCAAGCCTGAGCATCTAGAACAGAGGAGGGTGATGGGACCACCGGTGGGGGGGGGGGGGGGGTTTGCAGGGACCAGGCTGAGGCACGTGGGGCACTGGCGAGCTGTGTAGGTGCAGGTACCAATGACAGGCCCTGGGTAGTCCCAGAACTGGGCTTGACCAGGCAAGTGTAGTGGCATCTTCGGGGGCTCTGGTACAGTCTCACCCTGGCCCGAATCCCTCAGTGCACCGAGACCATGAATCCATAGATCCTCTGCCATGCCCACACCTCCACCTCCCCCAGTCCAGGCCGAGGAGTTCGGGGACAGCCCAGCACACGTGGCACTCTTGTGTTCCTCGAGCCATCACGCGCAGAGGCTCGCAGTGGGATGACAGTTCAATCTGCTGCCAGAGCATTCCTGGGCAGGTGAGGGCGGTGATGGCCACCCTGCCCCAAGCCACGGCCTTGCTGTGACCGCAGACCCGTCGTTCATTCTGGAAACCTTCCGAGGGAGGCAGAGGGAGGGAGATGAAAGCAGAGCGCGCTGGCAAGGGAGGGAGCCGGTTGGAGGGGGCCTCCTCTGACCTCAGAAAGCCAGCCACACACAGACACACTCGCCAACTGCTTTGTTGAGCTGATTGCATTTTGGCGGGAGCTCTGGGCCTGGGGACAAGAGTGTAATGGAATGACCTTTCTCAGAGGAGCCTGCGGCCTCAGAGGAGGCCGGCCTGCCCCCTGCCTCACCTGGACTTCATCCTTCACAACCTTCGTCTAGTGTGGGTGCCCCCCCTCCCACCGCTTCTCACATTCAGTGCCCTCCGTACCCTGTCCTGGTGCAATTTGGTTCCTTCACTCCATCCCAGATGAGCCCACTCTCTTCCAGACCTGCGGTCCACCCCCTAAACATCCTCAGATTCCTTAGGGTTCTGGGTGATTTAATGACATTCCAGGTATAAACGTTCCAGCGAGAGACTCGATTCATTGGCACTATTTCTGGAAGGCAATAAATGCCAATGCTCCATTTTATGGTGGAGACCTAGGGGTTTCAGTGACGGTTCCCACCCCCGCCCCTCCTAAGGAGCTCTGCACCATTGTCTCTTCACACTTGCCGAGGTACATGTGTTTGTGGGGTCAAGGGCTATGTCATCAGGTCATTTTGGGGAAAACCATGAACAGAGGACCTCCCTGGCTTCTCCACGGCCAGCAACCAGGCACATCTCTGCTAACATGCCTGGGTCCAGAGCTTCCTCCCGACAGTTATACTCTGTCACCAGTAGATGGTCAGAGAGACTGACCGGGATGAAAAACCCAGGTCCTCACTGACAGGACATGACTGTCTTCAGAAGCAAAGACTCCTGCCATTTCTGATACTTGCCTGTGAAACCTCTCACAGGTAGATGGATGGTCTGTCCTGCACCCTGCACCCTGAGATGCCTCCTGTGGGTCCAAGTTAGGGACCACCGTGTCCGCCGCAAACAGCGGACGCCCAACACTCTGTCCCTTTAACATGGCTTGCCTTGGTGTGTGCCAGGAGCCCAGTCCATTTCTCCAAAGAGAATATTTAGAGATGTGTCTGTGTGTGAGAAAGAGAGGGAGGGAGGGGTTGGGAGCGGAGTGGGGCGAGGGCAGGGGCTCCAACCTTCTCACCTGAAGAAATGGGTGGTGAGCCACCCGGATGGCTTTGCGTTATTCTAACAGTGAGGTCCTTTCTACACAGAGTGGTCCAGTCTCTCCTCTGTTGCCTACATGCGGAGGGCACTGGATTGGACCAGTGCACATCTGAGGCCACACACTAGCCCCTGAATGGACCAACCACATGTCTTCATCTTCAGCAAGTACTGAACAGCTGAGCTGAGTGGCCCCGGACAGCTCAGTTTCCCAGATGAGTGTGGCATTTGTGGTCCAGCTAACACTCTGCCTGGGTCTTGACCCCAGCCTTGCCTGGTGCTAGCCGGGACCATCCACCCAACAAGGCATGTGACCCTGCCTTGACCTCTCTTTGCTTCCATCCAGGGCTGTGCCCCACCTCTCTCCCTGGCCTTGCCAGCACCCCTTGAGCCCAGTAATGACCTTGCCCTGGATTCCCCGGCTGTGTGGGCAATTGCTTCCTTCTTAGCTCCCGCTGGGCTGGCCTTTGCGCCGGGCTCCACCACTGAGAAGGCTTATTGATTGTGAAGAATGTAATTATGCCCCATATTCATGAGCTTCAAACAAGTATTCTTATCAGCAGGTTGTGCAGTGAGGAAGGGAGAGGTCAGCCTGGGCTCCTGTACTTGAACTTCCTCCCATGGGATTTCTGCCTGCAGGTGAGCCCCTTCAAAAGGGACTGACGCTTGGAAAGTCCCCCAAGACCACCCCCCACTCCCAGCTGGCCAAGGTCCGGACTGCTGATGAGGTCTGGGTCCCACCACCGGCCCTACTCAGCTTTCTTTGCTGAGTTTGTTCACATCGGATGGGATGCCAGTACCCTTATGGGTCGTTGGGGAGCTGTTAGAAAGGACAGGGCCCTGGAGTGCTGAATGTCTCGCTGTCGGCCCGTCTGTAGCGGTCTGTCTGTGGGTTTCTAGGGGATGGGCCCAGTGAGTGATGGTGGGTGTCTCATCTCTGCCTTTGGATGGCTCCAGTGATCAAGAAGGTGGTCTCTAATGCCCTGAACTCTTAGAAGAGCAAAGTTTTGTCATCCCTCCAAACACCTCAAGGATGAAGGTGTAGATATGAGAAACATCTAGAGCCTGAAGTCCCCGCACAGAAATCTTCATCTCTGAGAACCTCTCACGGACCTCTCCAGGCCCAGCAGAATCAGGCTCTCACTCCCCCAGCCGCATGATCACAGCTCCACGGGGTTTGCCGAGGGCCTGTCTGCGTGTCCTCCTTGACCACGAGAGCCACAAGGGAAGGATCAAGTGTAATATATCCCGAGTGCCCCATACGCTTCTGATGGAGACCGTAAATGTTTGACCCATGGACTGATGAATAAGTTAATGAAATGTCTATACTTCACCTCTGGTATTGCTCCCAGGGTGAACTGTCACCGTTTTATGTTTTGAATGGATGGCTTCCTAAGAGGCATTTTTAAATATTCAAAATTCTTAACCTTTTTTCACACTGTGACACATGTGACAGATGGCCCTGAAATGTGTGGCACACCCCAGTCCGGTTCTGAGCGGGTCGGCTGCGATTCCGCTCCACTCAGCCCTACCTGCAAAGCCTTGAGGGCAGGTGAGAAAGGCTAACGCGGCCACAGGAATAACCTTGAGCCTCCTCCAATTTAAGCGGAGAGGAAATCACCACCCCCCCCCCGACATGCAAATTTTACTGCTATTGCTAATGAAATAGGAAACATAACTGGTCACGACACACTGTTCGCGGTGACTCTTTAAGAGGAGTGTAGCGGTTTAAGATGGCTACCGGGGGCCATCTAAAGAGTGTAGCTCTTTAAGGAGTGTAGCATCTTTAAGATGGCTACCGGGGGCCAGGAGGTCCTTTGCCCTTTCTCTAGATGTGGCCATAAGCCAAAGCCCGCATACTTGGACGGAGGCGGCAAAGACTGGGAGTGTGCAGTGGGAGCTGCCAGCCAATATCATTGTGGGTAAGCGCCGGCCATGAGAGTCTGGGTTCTACCGTCGTTCCTCTGAACTGCATGCTGCCGGTGCCTGTGGTGGGCCAAGGTGGGAGACCAGGCTTGCTGCGCACCCCGAGCCAGTTCTGTGCTGCTCGACTTCACCTTCCGGCAGGCAGACAACCTCGGAGGCCAGGCTCCTCGCGAGTGACAGTGGAGTTCATCCATCCATCACCAAGTGAAGAAGCACTCTAGACTTGATCTCCAGACCTGCTCACGCTGTGTCTCCCGATCCCTCCGTCCCTGTACTTCATCCCAGAATGAGAGGAGAAAGGGGTTGGGTGGGATCTCAAGCTAGTGAGAGATGACTCTCCCTAGAGTACCACCGGTTGCTAAGAAACTGGCGGGATAAGGAATGGAAACCATCAAGCCACTCCTAAAAATAACCAAATGGACTGGGGTTACTCATGACCTGTAGCAGCTGCGTGGCACAAATTTCATTTAGCACCAGGCGGAAGGAAGACCATTAGCCCCGCGCACACGTTATTCTCACCTCTGACTAGCTAGCCGTGTCCTGGGGAGGGTCCTCTCTGCAGGTGTTTCATAAACGCCTCCAGCCCTCCACACCCCTGCTTCCTCGCTCCCCACCTGAGGTCCTAGCACCGTGACCCGTGCTGAGATAACCAGAGCCCCGCTGTTGCCTTTCTCCTATCTTTGCTGAAGGGCCGGTGACCACAGAGGAGGGCTTGTTCCCGGCAGCTCTGTCGTCAGAAGAACGGGCCACCATCTATGTGGAGGGAGCTGAGAGCCTCTCCTAGTGACTCAGACATCAAGAGATACAAGGACACAAGAGCTCTCTCTCTTTGACGGCCAAGACTGATGCCCAGCCCATGCATCAGCAGGAAGGGGTAGGGAGGATATCAAAGAACAGAGGGGAGAGGAAAAATAAAACTGAATGCTTTCTAGCAGAACTATGTTGCTGAGGTGGCCAAGACTCCACTCTCTCTTAGTCCCTCTTTACAAGGGAAGGCAATTTTCTTTTTTTTTTTTTTTTTTAATTTTTTTCAATGTTTATTTATTTTTGGGACAGAGAGAGACAGAGCATGAATGGGGGAGGGGCAGAGAGAGAGGGAGACACAGAATCGGAAACAGGCTCCAGGCTCTGAGCCATCAGCCCAGAGCCTGACGCGGGGCTTGAACTCACGGACCGCGAGATCGTGACCTGGCTGAAGTCGGATGCTTAACCGACTGCGCCACCCAGGCGCCCCTAGGGAAGGCAATTTTCAAGTATGAAGATGGAGACTGTCTCTTTCCCATGGGTGAAATGATACTGTTCATTTTGTCTTCAGTTACTAAGTCAAGAACAATTTCTGGCATCTTTTACTCTTAATAAAGGTACCAAATCTGAGCTTCATGGTAACAAGAGAAAGGGACTCTAAAATCAGGACTGCCCTGTGCAGTTGTGCAGGCTGTTCACTGCACAAAGGAGCTTGGGCTGACAACCAGTCCATCATTCAACAAACCATGCACCCTGGCTTGGAGTTACATCCTCCAGTAGGAAAGGGCACCTTGTTGAATTCACAAAGAGGCACCACAGAGGTTGGCAGAGGCCCCGACTAGAAGCATCACTGATGGTACAAAAGTAGGAGTTAGTTGAGTTTGGGGATCACCTCTCATCTTGGCCTTTCTGAATGTATATTTCTTCGCTTTCATGGGCAGAAAATGAGGTTCTAATCCTATCCTCTTGGACACAGGACTACGGTGATGAATAAATAAATAAGGCTTTGGCTGGTTGCCTAGCTCAGGTGTTTGCTACCTGGAGCCGATTGGCCCAGACACACCATTAACGTTCTTTACCATGAGTTAGCTTTGCATGAAGACGGGCTCCCCAGCTTACAACTGGCCCTCCAGTCACAGGACAATGTGTGAGACCATGATTAAGGTCATGGCTACAATGGCTGAGAAAGCACTGCAGGGCACAGGGCATCAAGAGCTCATCTTGTGAAGGTCAAGGGTCTGGGGCAGTCAGAAGTGTCAGAATGAGAACGACATCCCCACAGAATGTGGAGAGAGGCTTACTGGATAGACAGCGACAGATGGGTAGAGGACTCCAGACTTCCTGTGCCAAGATGTTATTTGGTTCCTTGAGCGTTTGTTTGTTTGTTTGTTCTGTTTTGTTTTGGTGGGGGTTAGAGCAGGAACTGGATTTCCTTCCTGGGCCTGAAGGCGTTTCGGCCATTAAGATCTGGGACCCTCCATGCAGGGAAGCCGAGCACAGAGGCTATGTCCAGCCAGGTTCCCTGGGGTCTTGTTTCAGTTGACAATACCACTGGGGACGTGGGGGTGTGGGTATTGCCAATTGCAGGATCGGGCTCTGTGAATGACCCGTCTGTAAGCACCAGCCCATTTTGGAGGGGAGGGGACCCCAAATCAAGGGCAGTTGCCTGCTCAGCAAGGGGTCCTACCTTGGCTCCCGGGCCCAGCACTCACCTCTCCACCCAGTTCTTGTAGCTGGGGATGTCCTTGGCATAGAGCAGCTTGTTGGAAGGGGAGTCCTTGCCCAGTCGGTGCTCTGATGTGGAGCAGGAGTCCATGAAGGTCTGGGCCACCACGGAGAGGCAGGCGTCCGTGATGCTGTTCTTATGGATGTCGAACACAAACTGAGGGTTCTTGATCATGTTGACCCAAAACCGCAGGGGTAGGCTGTGTGGAGGGAAGAGGCAGATGGTCAGGAAGAGAGGGCAGGGGGTGTGGCGTGGCCTGGAGAGTTCTCTGGGGAAAGAGAAAAGGCTGAGAACCGATTGTTCTTAAAAGCAAAGCCTATGCCACTAACATACCTGGCAGGAAACTGAGGATCAGCAAGGCTGACTACTCCACCCACGGCTAAAATGTTGATGGGCACTGGGGAGGGCTTGATGCCCAGCCTGAAGACTGCAGGACTACAACCTTCCCTGGCAGCACAAGGCTTGGGCTCAGAGGCGGCCAGTGTGGGTGCTATAAAGTGGAGTTTCCGACTCTATTCCACTGTCCACCCCCTATGCCGGATATAATGCACACCCAATCGGCAAACCTTAAAGAATAGCCTGGAATACAGGCTTTGTATCTTATTCTCTGCCATCCACGGTATGACCCGGAAGAGAGCACATCCTTCCTCCCTGCCTGACAGTACAGTTTGACCCTACGCGGTAAAGGCACTGGGGCTGAGCAGTTGAAGTGTAGCTAACTAATTTCTCCTCCCTGAGCCGGCATGCTTAGAAACCCACATTCACAGCCCTTCATCTGTCCCCTTGTGTTTCCCTCCCTCTTTCTTGCACTGAGCACCTACTGCATACCAGGCACTACGCTAACAACTGGGGATACATCCTCTGCCCTCAAGAAGCCAGCTTTCTGGTGGGTTCGTGGGGGAGTCAGGCCTGCCACCAGGCATGTGCTCTGAGAGCTATCAGTGCTGGAACCCAAGGACAGGCAGGGTCTGATGTGGGACACAGGGAGGCGTCACCGAGTCTATGCAGAGGGAAGTGTTCAGAAAGTCTTCACGGAGGGAAAGACACTAGATGGTCTGCGTTTTAAAGACACAGATGCATTCCTTAGCTGGAGTAACCTGGAGGAAGCAGGAGAGGAGTCACCTAAACCAAGCCAAAGAGGAGAAAAACTGCAGTGTGGTCTGTTAAACACAAGTCACACTCTCTGTTGCCAGAAAGGGAGGTTGGGAGAGACCTGTCCCCTGTCCCCTTTGGCCACACTCTGCCGGCTCTCGCATCCTGTGGCTTCCATCCGGCCTACTGAGATGCAGGTAAGGAAGCGGGATGGCACCAAGCAAGGGATCGCTTGCTTCCCTCCCTCTGCCCCCGACCTCCTCCTCACCTCCTGCCTTCTGCCCTGAAGTTTTATTGCTTTGGTAGCTGTTCTCACTGTTGGTAATAGTTACAGCGTTCCTATGTGTTTGACTCGCCTCTTGAAACTTCAGCGCTTTGAATTACTTACTTCAATCTGGCGAGTACAATACATTTCTATTTGTTGCATCTCCCAGTGGCCGGTACCTCCATACAACAGATGCTAAACTACAGTAAGACCTCATATTCAAGACTGCCGATCGACCAGCAAGTATTACGTTCCTACAAAATGTGCAGCACAGGACTGTCAGATCTCGGGCAGCACTGAGATCTGACAACGTTAAGTGGCACTTGTTTCGTCCTTTGAAATAGGGACTAGGAAATAAGGGGGTGACACAGAAAGTTGCAACACATGGTGTAAGTCAGGGTCATCATAGCTGCCCAGGGGAGACCGTGACAGCTGGGGTCAGAGCCCTGCATGGACTCCAGGCTGCTCCGCCCATGGGGTCTGTCCACACCTTCCTGTTTCTGGGCGTCGCATCCAGAAGACGGTCTCGGGGAGTCTAATATCTGCTACACAGTCATTTCCCTTGCTTACGCCACTTGTGCTGACAGGCAAATCAAACAGGGGCACCGGGGCACCACACCGAGGTTCCTGCCTAATGAAATATTAGCATATTATTAACATTGGTGGTGGCACTAATCTCTGGTTGATTGCAGCCACTCAGGCTAAATGAGCAGGAGGTTTATTTCAAAGAGAAAAGGTAGGGGAACGTGGAGAAAGCGGGTGGGGAGAAGGTGAGTTGCAACTCTGGCCAGGAATCAAGAAATCATCTTCTTTTTTTACTCAGGGACGATGAACTCTAAGTCATGAGGCAGATCTCATAATTCCCAGACGAACTGCTTCTTGCCTGGGCAGTGAGCAGGGTCAGGGGGCACATGTCCTTGGGTGAGAGAACTCGAGCCGGGTACTACGGACGACCGCCCTGGGGCTCCTTGTGATGACACCAGAGTACTGGGAGGAGCTGGTGTGAAGGGAAGGTTGGCCCCACGCCAAGGGCATTATGGCATCCTTGGAGGGCGGCGGGGGAGGCGGTGCTCACCCCAGCCAAAGTATGGGCTGAAGACGAATGATTTAGATACCATTTCAGGTGGTCTGCTGGTAAGGGGCTACAAGGGCATGTAGGGGTGTTTGAGTGTTTTGGAAATACCAGCCCTCCACAGCCAGGCCCAAGAGCTGGGCTGGGCAGAGCATTCTTTGTGTTGTGGAGTCTGCTAACATTCGGATGAGGTGGGGAGTAGGAAGACTGACTGGCAGAGAGAAGCAGACTGGGTAGGTCAGGGACATGGCCCACGGAACGGCTTTGCAGAGCCGCGCTAAGAGGATGGGCAGAATTCAAAGCACTCTTACCCAGACCAGGCTGGCAGTCCTTCAGCAGGGAAGAGCCTTCACCCCGTGCCCCTGAGGAATCTGGAGTCTAACCGTCTTATTTCAGAAAGGGTGCAGGAACTCGGCAGTGCAAGATCTCTCACCCAGAATTAATGGGGGCGTAAACCCAACTCTTTAGTGCTATGGTCCAAACCTCTGTTCCTGCCCGCATTTCCAGTTTCAGCAGAGATCGCACTACTCTTCAGGCAAAAGAGAGGAGAAGCCAGAGCAGATGACGTTAAGTGAGGTTTTAGTGCCACTTCTGACTCCTGCCGTGGTCCATGTTTGGTCTGGGGCTCCAGTCTGGCTGCCGGGGTGCCTGGCCGAGCCCTAGAGCCGGGCCCGTCCCGGCTGTCGGCCGCAGGTGCTGGGCAGCAGGCTTGTGCTGCCTTGGAAGAATGTTCTGGGGAAGAACAACCTGGGACAGGGACTGTCGAAAAGCTCCAGGGAGGCAATTCTGGAACTGATGGGACCAAATACAAGCCGGCCTGGCCTGAGACAGAGCCCTCAGATAGAGACCACCTTGGTCCTACATCTTCATCAATATTTATCGAGCCACGGCTTTGTGCGAGGTTCCACACCAAGTGCTGAATACTGATGTCTGACCTTGCAGCTGCAAATGGAAACACAGAGTATACACCCACGAAGAGACAGGAGGGCCTATGTTCAAGGACACAGGAACCATAGTGGAGACATCTAGGGTGTCAGGGCTCAGAGAGTCCTGCTTCCTCGAAGAAGGACAAAGCAGGTACGGGAAGGTCTCTTCCCCAAAGGGAGTTGGGAAGACGAGTCTGGCAGAAGGGAAGACCCTTGCTTCTCGAATAGAACGGAAACACCTTTTGTTCGCCTAGACGACTCTCAGGTCACAACCGTGCTTGAGGTGCTGGCTCTAGAATTGGTTGCATGCGTGCATCTTCGGCCTCCCTGTCCCAACAGCCACCTGCCTGTCTCTTACCCACGCCTGTCAGCCCACCGAGGGCGGTGGCCGTGCCTGAGCGTGTGTGCACACACCAGGCACAGTGTCGGGCATACTCTGGATGTGACAGGGGTCTGGTGGCAACATTTGGCGTGTTAAGTTTTCGCTCACTTACTTGGTTCAATAAGTGTCTGCAACCTGCCCGACTGATGGATAGGAAACAAGGATGCTTTGGGTGGAGGGAAGTGAGAGAGGAAGCCAGCGCGGACGCAGTAGGAGAGGGCAGGGAGGCCCAGACGCAGGGCCTGCTCCGGGTCCCTGCGGAGGAAGCGGGGGCGGCGGCCTCCCTCACCAGTTGCTCTTCCAGGTGTGGCGGACGTGCGGGTCGTGGATGCCGTGTTTGTCGGCCTGTTCGTCCAGGAAGTCGAACATGTACTTGATGGCCAGGGGCAGGGCCGAGCCCCGGTGTGCCGTGCTGAAGATGGTCTCGAACAGGTCGTCCACAAACTTCTGCAGCGTGCCCTGCGGAGGGGGACTGGTTCAGAACGCAGCTCCACCCAGGGAGCTCTCAGGACAGGGTCTCAGATCTGCCCGGCAGACCAGGAGAGGGGCAGGGAGGGCAGGGTGCATGGCCTGCTGGGGAGGGGGACAGCGGAGGCCGGGCAAGTGCCTGCATCAAGTCTCCTACCGTCTTCACCTTCCTCCAACAGCTTTAAATTTCCCGTGCACGTGGAAGATAGATATAATGCTGATGACTGGACCTAAGCGAGCCTTCCTCTGCCAACAACATGGGTTGGTTTAACACCCTTTGGTGGTGTTATTTTAGCACTTTTCACAAATGCTAACGAACAACTCACTCGGTCGGAGCAGACAAACACAATCTGCTGGTTTTGTTTGGGCATCATTCACGCTGGCTGATGAGCAGTTACACAGTCAGCTCTGCAGAGCTCAGAGCGGAGGCCAGCCTCACAAGTTGAAGGGCTGAGCACAGGCACACAATGTTCCCAGAACCGGGATCAGAGATGGTGCCTGGAAGGGCGCCTGGGTGGCTCGGTCGGTTGAGCGTCCGACTTCGGCTCAGGTCACGATCTCACGTTCCGTGAGTTCGAGCCCCGTGTCAGGCTCTGGGCTGACGGCTCGGAGCCCGGAGCCTGCTTCGGATTCTGTGTCTCCCTCTCTCTCTGCCCCTCCCCCGCTCATGCTCTGTCTCTCTCTGTCTCAAAAATAAATAAAAACATTAAAAAAAAGAAATGGTGCCTGGAAAGTCACTGATGGAGCCCCACTTTGCCTCACTAGGGGTTGTATGTGACACCCTTGAGAAGGAAGCATTCTCTCACAGGCATGACAGAAGAACATGAACAGATGTGGCTAGTGTCTCCATATTTGGGAACGGGGCACAGAGCAGGATGGAAGCAGTGCTTCGGGCTGCACACCGATGCATGCGCGGGGCTTGCCTGAAGCGCGAGGTTGAGGATTCTGAGTTTCGGTGCTGGGAAAGAGCACTGGGGCTGAGTGGATAACGGGTGGGGCGAGCACAGATGCTAGGCATCCGCCAGCTTGGCATTTCTGTGGGCTGATGACGCTCCTTCCCACACCCCACACGTGCCCCGAAGCCCGTCTGAAGCCCCATACCTTCGTGGCCAGCAGACGCGTCAGATAGATTTCAGACACCATCTTGCTCCCCCGGTCGCCCTCCTTCTGGTCCCCGTGCTCGTGGTTCTTCACCAGATGCCACATCTTGACTCCGCTCTCCAGGTCGGGGGTGATCATGGGTGTGCGCGAGCGGAGGCTGTCAGGACTGCCGGTGTATCGGATCATGTTTTCTGCCAAGGCAATGACCCAGCGTGCGTGAGGCCCTTCCATGACCCATCACACGACCCCCATTCTGGCCGTGGCCAATACCGTCTGATCCTGCCTGCAATCTGCGGGTGCTGCTGGCTGCCTGCCTCGCATCGGTCCATTCCCTGCGCGTGGGATGCTTTTCCTGCCACGTCCGGGAAACCCTCCGCGGCTACTTGACCCGCTGAGATTCCTCCCCCTCCTGTACCTGCATCTCCCCAGCCCTTAATTATTCAATCTGTAAGACCAGCAGCCTGTCCGTCGTTACACTTTTCCTGGTAAGGGTTCTGAGGTGATGTCTCAGGACATGTGCTGTGTTTCCCTTAATGCCGTGGAGCAGCTGAGTGATCACCTTGTCACCCGCTTACCTGCATCCTCCCGTCTGGCCCGGGCCAGATCTTCCCACTGGCTTGCTGTGGGCTGTGGCGAAATGAGTGTGGAGCAGAAAAGGTCCTACTGTGTGCGGGCACCACTGTATGTTTACTACCGATTTTTCACAGTGATCCTGGGGAATTGGTCATTTTTTCCTCTCCAGTTTTGCTGGTAAGAGAACCAGGTCTTACGGCAGTCAGGCAGCTGGCCCCAAAGCACACAGGTGGAGGCAGAACAGGGCTGCACCGGGGGCCCCCAGCCCGGACCCAGCATCCTCTCCCCACCCCGCATCCTGGAGCTGGAGCCCTGGGTCTGCACCTTCCCTCAGCCGCTTCATAACCGTGTGACCTTTACGTGTTGTGTAGCTTCTGAGCATCTGAGTTATAATTTGCTAATCTGCATAATAGGGGGAAATAATAATTATTTAATTCGCTGATTGTCACGAACATGACGTGCGATAATGAAGACCGCAAAAGTGAAAGCACCGTGTCGTAGACTGTGAGGTGCTCGTGAAGGTTAGATTTTCTTCTTGTTTTCAAGGCTGAAGGTCCTGTTCCTGCACCAGAGTTCCAGAACGAGAAGACTCCTCCCCATTCGGGCTCTCCCCAGCCGTGGTCCGCCTGCCCGTCTCCCTCTCCCCCTCCCTGTCCGGGGGTCCAGTGCTGTTCAGCGGTGCTGTTAATGCGACGATCACCCCAACAAGCTCGGGCATCCTCTCCTCCCCAGGACGATTGGCAGAACTCACCATATTTACTTGCCGAGGTCCTGGAGACTGTGGAGTTGTTCACGGCATTGTAGGCTGTCACCTGCTTGGACACTAAAGCCACCACAGAACCATCTGGCACCTACAAGGAAAAGGCTTACAAGAGACTGGGCACAGAAACTCTGCCACCTGAGGAAATGAGGACAACAGGAATTTACTTGGATCTCAGGGGCAGTCAGTGCCTCACCAAGAACAGGGGGGGCTTCGGAGGCGGTCGGCTTTCTTCGATGAAACAAGACAGACCTGAACGCTGAATAGCATCCTACGCCGTGGCTAACTCTTAGAGCAACTCTGGCAAGAGCGTCTCACCAGCACCCTCCATCCCGATGCTTCCCTGGGAGAGCACCCGGCCTTACGCCCCAGGGATCATCCAAGAAAGGCCTTTTCTTGGGGACTTGCCCACACCCCGCCGGAAGCACACCCCGCCAGAAGCATGCATGTTGGCCTCCCATCTCCAAAGAGGTCAGGGTTTCCTGGCTGACGGACACCAAGTTTCCCTGGGTCGCTAAGGGATCAGAAGTGCCGGTGGAGAGGTGGCTGCAGGGCTTGGTGTCCGGCCTCAGGGTGACCCTATCCTTTAAGGACTGAGACTCTGAGGGAACGGCAGGTTACCAGCCCCATCCCTCCTGTGCAGTCACCCCACCTGGTAATGGGCCAGCGTGTTCAGTCTCTTCCAGTCATTCTCAATCTTGGTGGTGATGTCTTCATCCTGTAGGATCATCCTCGCCCCGCTTCCTTGTCGCCACTCTGTAGGGAGAGCAGATGCATCTCAGAGAGGCCCTCGGGCCCCTGTGCTCCCAAGGACAGCTCCCTGCGGTGCTCCCAAGGACCTCTGTGCGGGCAACTACAATGCATGATCTCCAGGGTGCATCCGTGGACCAACAGGTGTTACGAGACACTCCCTGAGGAGGGGTGCAGAAGCTCTCAGTGCAGAGGCGCCCTGGGTCCCAGCCCCGGTTCTCATCCCAACGCACTGTGTGCCACAAGTGGGATAACGTCCCCTGTCCTCCCCTGCTCACCTGTCCCCTGCGAGCGGCCACATCCGTGAGCAGTGCTTATAAAAACTGGCTGAGTGAATGAGGCAGGTCAAAGCATTTAAGAACGCTAAGTAAATGCCAGGTGGCATCATCACCGCCACAGGCTCATTTGCTCGATTGCAAGGTCTCAGAGCTAAGGAGAGGCTGCAGGTTCAGTCTCTGTGCACCCTGGTCCTGTTGCAGGGCTGTGTCCTGCACCTGAAAGCTGGGAGGTGGGTCGCACCATTGGCAGGGAGGCCGGGTAAATGCACGTGGAGGGATCAGCAAAACCCATTCTCGTGCCCGGGACCAGCCCCATCCCCACGGACTTAATGTGAATACCTGCGTCTTGGTGATCTATCCAACACCTCATTATTTGATGCTTTAGGTATATACTTCTATCCATACGTTCTCCTCGGGGGCCCAGACACCACCGACACACAGGCTCTCTGATGGCTCCCGCACGGGGAAGCAGGGGACTGTTTCCCATCAACCAAACTGCCATCACCACCCATGGTACAAATCACATGCAGACGAAGAAGTGCACATTCCAGTCTTGAAATGTGTGCGCACGGAGACCCAGGAGCACGCCAGCTCTCGAGTGCAGGGGCACGTGCACACCCCCACACACACGTATGTTCACATACACACACCAGAGAGGAAAAGACGGCCTTTTAAATTCAAATGCAACGTGTGTTCCAGCCAGGAAGCCACGAATCTGGCTTCCAGGCAATCACGACCCCGCTCAACGCCACACAGACGCCAGTACTTCCGAAACGTGCAAGAGCCCTGGGATTCACGGAGCACGGTCGGGTGCGGGAGTCACCTGACATTCCTGCCTGACCCCGCTGTGGATTCTCCTATGGCTTACAGAGACCCGATTCAGATCCCACCCCCAGCCCCGCTGTCCCCTCCGGTCAAGGCTGAGCTGTGGGCCCATGACTGGCCACATCCGCGGTGCAGAGGGCACCGATTCCTCCCTGCCTTGTGCACTTGGCATGACCAGTGCTGTGGATGAAAGACAGGCCCAGAAAGAGAGCTGCCTGCCCTGAGGGGCAGCAGAGATGCTCGTAATACCCCAGTCCCTGCTCGAGGTCGTGGGCTTGTCTGCTGCCTGGTTTAAAGCTTCATGTAGCATCAGGTCGCCCGAGGAATGAGAGCATGAGGATAATCGTGCATGTTCACTGGAGTGAAGGTCCCTGGGCACCGCCTATCACTTAGTGCCGTTGAAGGCATGGCTGGAGTTGAGCGCAAGGATTAGAGCCTCGGGGCAGGTAGGGTAATAGACTAAAGGGGAAATGCCCCACTGAGGCACCTCGAGGGCAGTGTGTTGTTGGTTGTGTTTTTTTTTTTTGTTTTTGTTTTTCATTTTATGTGGGTATGTGCGGATGCACGCGCTTTTGAGTGGTGGGGAACACGAAGTAGAGTATCTGGCAGCTGGTCAGCCAGTTGATACGTGGTACAGTCCAACTCTTGGTGAAGCCCAGCCTGGGGCTAAGGAATATGGCAGTGGCATGCTCTACCCCAGTCCCAAAAGACAAAGCCTCTGGGGTCTCTCCTGCTTGCCTGGTGAATAGCTCCAGGGCTATTAAGTCAGAGGCTGCATGGCGGGAACAGTACAGAGACAGCTTGGGGGCACGGAAGACAGTGTTCTACATTCTCCCACACAGGGATTGGGGGAGAAGGAGGGGAGGACTCTGGATATTAGGTCCACTGGCTGGGATATTAGGTCCACTGGCTTCTCCTAAGGGAGAAGAAGGTCTCCTCCACTGAAGTGGCTGTGGGCTTGCCAGTACTAGATGGGGACCAGCTTTCTGGTTTAGCAGCTACACTGGCATTGTTTGCTGATGGAGTTGTAGCACATCTCAGTAGGATCTGAACAAGCCACACAGCCTGGTGGATTAAGCCATGAGAGCTGGTGACTGATTCTGGAGCCCGATGGAACGCTTCCCGGTTGCACAACTCCCCTTGAAATTGTGCAGTGCGCAGCCTGTGCAGCTGTACTCAGCAGCCTTGTTTCTGAGTCATGCCCAATAATTATGTAAGCAAATGAAAATCAGTCTGTATCTGTGTCCCCAACTGAAAAAAAGTAGGGCAGAGTATGGCTATGCTTCCCCCAGGGCAGTCAAGGAATGATGGCTTGTCCTTGGGAGTACAAAAATTTGATGTTGCTAAATGTCTACCAGCAGTGCTGGCCCAGCACCAGGGACACAGTATGTACTTGATGAGTATTTATTAAAAGAATAATGAATAAGTGAATGAAGGAAGGAAGGAAGGAGAAGAATGAGCGAGTGAGTGATGATGGCCTATATTAGGCAGTACAAAAGAATTTTCTGCCTCTGTGTTGGTGCTCACAGTGGGCAGTGAGTTGCAGTTAAAGGGGAACCGTGAACTACTCTCTTAGCAACCTGGGTCAAAGGTTGATCTGAACTCTTCAGAAACACAGCCAGGCATAGCCAGTGCCAGAAGGAAAGTTGTCTTAAATTATTGTCACTCATTCTTCCAGTGTTATGACCAGGAAATTAGAGAAACAGGTTGGGAAGACAGATGCAGAAGTCCTTATCCCCAGGCCACTGCTCCTTCTGATAACCAGCTGAGTTCTCTTCCACGGGCACTAACTGGGCTCCTTCTCTGGGCAGGACACTGGACTAGGTCATCTGGATACAGTGACATGAGAGGAGCCCTCGTGCGTGCCCTGTGTGTTCCCTAGACGTGGGAGCTCTATGAACCCGAGAAGGCAGTGTCCTCAGGCCCCAGCAGCTTTCTTTCCATAAAACCAAGTCTTTGAGCAGTTATCTCAAAAAGTTATGAATATTCCCCCAAATACCAACATGAGGATGGTGAGCTGGAATCAAGGGGAGCACTTAGCCCTGCTTTTTAGATCTCTTGAACCTGTTTCTTCTCGTTACCTCTTACACAGAAAAACCGGGGGAGGTGGGCCACCTGAGTGGCTCAATCGGTTAAGCGTCCAACTCAGGTTGTGATCTCACGGTTTGTGAGTTCGAACCCCGCATCGGGCTCTGTGCTGTCAGAGCTTGGGATTCTGTCTCCTCGCTCTCTGCCCCTCCCCCACTCACTCTCTATTTCTCTCTCAAAGATAAATAAAAATAAACTTAAAAAAAAAAAAAAAGAGAAAACTTGGATTTGCTTTCCATCCCGCTGAAATAGAAGGAAGATAAAACAGTGAACTTCTCTGTCCCGCCCCCAAATCAGTCCTAATGGATGGAAACCCAGGGAGGAGGGAGCCTGGTTTTGGCAACCCCAGCCCTGGGCTACAAGAAAGAACCAGGCCATGGGGAGCCGGCCAAGCTGACCCCCAGCGGAGGCGGGGACTCGAAGTGCAGCAGGAAGGCAGGGGATTGCCCGGTGCCCAGTAATTTAACCTGGGCTAACCTGGGAACTCATTCCTGAAACTCACTCTTCTTGGCCGGAGTCCTTAGTTTTACCTGCTGGCCTGAACACATTTCTGCTTCTGTGTTACACTTTCCTTCCTTTCCTGAAATCCCTCATCCATATCAGCCATGGTCTCTCTTTTCTTCCCAGACTCATCACGGAAAGTCTCCAGAAAATCAGGAGAGCAGACATGGGCTCGGCTTTCTGGAGTGCTCTTGCATAGCTTTGTGACCTTATCTCAACAGAGGCAGGAACTGGAGCTCTACGGAGTCATGTCAGAACCAGGAAGGGACAAGGTCAAAGGCCAAAGCGGCTGGCTTCTCCCCATCTCAGAGTGTCCACCCTTCGCAGGCCATAGCTGGCTTCCGGAAATACCGTCCTTGCCCAGCAGTGAGGAACCCAAGGGCCGGCTGCACCGGTTGAGGGTAAGGCAGGCCTGCCACCTTCAGATCTGAAGGACAGCGGCCTCGTGCCCTTGGCAGCGTGTGGCTGGCTAGGTCATCCTCAGGAGGCCCCTGAGCGAGGACGTATCTCATTTTGCGCCCTGTGCATTGCTGTATATTCGACACACGCTCCGTATTAATGACGGTAATGCAAATCAATAGAACCAGGCCTCTCAATCCCAAGTCCAGCACTCTCTTCACCAGAGAGGCTCCTTCTGTCTTGCCTATAAAAACAGTGCTAAAAATATCTCTCTTTTGTGTCCACACCTTGCTATGTATGTATGAGGTGGCCCTGTTAGAATAGCTGAGGGGTGATGGGACAGCTGGGCCGATGGCCAGCATTCTCCGGGTGAGTGCGTAGCCTCCACACAGCTCTGCCTGCCCTTGGGGCACAGGGAGGGACCAGAAAATACCTCCAGACACCAAATGATGGGAGACACTGAGCTCAGAGATGGCCCCAGAGAATCTTGAGACAGGGCACGCTCTGGACCAGCACATCTAGGAAGACGCATCTCCTGTGGCCCCCGTGCTGAAAATCCAGATCCAGGAAACCTCAGAGCCCCATTCACACTCACCCACTCCAGCACCGTCTGCTCAGTGCCCACAGCGTGCCAGGTCCTGTGCTAGCACAACATGACGCTTCATCAGACTGAAGCCCTGGCTCCTGAAGGGCTCTCTAGGGGAAGGCTGTGAGGAAGCAGGATGAATCGGGGGCCCTGGGATCGGGGGGGGGGGGAGAATGCCCCGCGTCGGGGGGGGGGGGGGGCCCAGGGATGGCTGTTGGGCTGAGGGCTGGGCGGCCAGGAGGACGGGTGCTCTGGTCCGAAGATGCCACTTATGTGATGCTTCTGGGGACCCGTAGATGTGTGTCAGTGTGGGAGACAGTGGAAAGGAG